ATTTTGAAAGATTAATTTTTGGTGAAAATGCTTTTGAAAATATTGGAACTAAATAGACAAACAGACTGGACTTTCATGGGAATATTGTTTGTTTAATATTAAAGAATGCAGACAATTGGTGGATTTTACAAAACAAAGAAGATAAAGGTAATATGAAACAGACTGCAACTATGGAGTGTCAGATGAGACTAAGTATTAAGGATATAGAAAGGCAAAACAGAAAAGAAAGGGGAAGCCTGCTTTTTACTTTTTCCCTTGTAATTCACACTCTTTCACTTCTGGATTACAACATTAGAATGGCAATCACCAGGAAAACGGCACAAATGGGAGAATGGAGGAGAGGGTCATTAGAGCAACTTACAGAATGGGGGATCACCCCAGAAATGTTGCAAAAAATGTTTGAGGAATTGGGTAAGAAGATACTGAATCAGTTAATGCTAACTTGGCAGCTTTTGAAAAGAGAATGGAAGAAAGACTTGTAAAGATGGAAGAGGAAATGAAAGAAGATTGAAGAATCTATAGGACAAGTAACTGGAGATGTAAAAGAAATTAATGATAAAGTTCATTCATCTCCCATGAAGCGGGCCTGATCATGTATCTTTTTTTTGCTGCTCTTGCACTTTGAAACATCTTGCATTCCAAAGTACAGAACTTAGTAGCCTTTAGAAAGCTATCAAGTCCTAATTGTTCTGCAGAGCATTTGGAGGCTGATGAATGGGATGCCTGAAGATAGTTAATTAGATTAATTGCTTCTTGGTATACCTCTGTTTTGGTTATTGTAAACTGCCTTGAATTGACAATGTGGGCAGTCTATACATCAGTCTAATAATAATATAGAGTTGTTGGGAGTTGGGTGGCATACACATTTAAAAAATCACTATTGCTATTATTCAAATAATAAATACCAAGTATCCTGGTTTCTGCTGTTGGTTATTCAGGCTGCAACAAACTTGTTATAAATAGCCTCTCTCAACAACATGGTTATAAAACAGATATTTTAGAAATTGCCCTAATTGTAAGAAAGTTAAGTAGCATTGCAAAAGCTCTTTAAAATGGCCGTTTAATGTGACATAGAACTACAGTTCTCTTTCTTTCATTGTTGCCTAATGGATAGGAATACTGCTGATGAGAATTGGAATTGATCTCTCAATATTGCAGCAAGTTTTTTCAAACCGTTGCTCCTATCTGAGGATGAAAAGGCTCTGTTGCAGGTAGTGAAATGTCTTATGTCAACACTGTTCATCACTCCATTAATCTTTGTCTAAAATGGCACCCTCCCTATGAATTGGATATATTTGGGGGACAGCACATTCGGGAAGTTTGCTATGGACTACACATGCAAAACACAGTGATTCCTGGTGGATTCCTAATATATGAGGATGACATTCTTGGCTTTTTATTTTTCCTGCGTTTATTATCACAAACAGCCCGTACAGCAAACAGAATTGAAGTTCGCAGTGTAAGATCTTTGCCAGACAGAAAAAGCAGCTTTGTGTGGTTGGCAGGTTCATAATGGATAATAGATAAAATAACCAAAACAAACAAGAGGGAGAGAAATAATGAGATGCTGCAATTCTTTTGAAGGATGAAGCATTCCATTTTTAACACATTGTTCTGGTACATCAAACAAGAAGAGGACTGAATCAATCTTCTCATTTCTTCTTTCATCAGGCAAGTTTTAAGCTAACAGAATTGCAGGAAAAAATATGTCTCAGATCAATTGTTAATCTAACCACAGTTCTATTTTGCAACATAAGTGACTCATAGCAATTCCCCTCCAGGACAGAAGTAATGAGATTTATATGCTACCCTTCTTCCCATCACCTTTCTTTCTTCAGACACTCCATTACACATACAAGGACTTCCATGGGCCTTTCTCTCCCTTGCCTTGCATGCTCTGCTTCAGTAAAACAACAGCAAAGCATTTGTCAAACCTGATTTTGCCAGGTATCTTTAGCTATCTGATCCCATTCTTTGAAAGTAGAAACACAACATTTTTCCCACAAAGAATGACAAGATAAAAACAAATGTTGGATGTGCCAAGGAGATGAGACTGAAAAGTCTGTGGATCTTTCATTTGGAGGTTCTTGTGAGGAGGAACATCTGGAGAAAGTAGAGTAACAACCTGTCTTGGTGAGAGTTTTAGCCATCCATAAATTGCTAGTATAAGTCACAGGGAAATTTGAGGCAAATTTGGAATGTTCTATTCAAACAAAACCTTTGAAGAGATTTGAAGAAAAGCAGAAGGATTTTGAAAACAGTAATAAAACAAAACAAAAAATCCTAATGAGTGTTTTGCATGTCCAGGAAGGCATTCTCTGTGATGTTGGCATACCCAGCTTGCTCTGCCGTACTTCTGAACCACTGACTTAGTTCATATATCATGCCAAACAATAATTGGTGTAAAAGCACTGGGAAGTAACCTGTGATCACATTGGTCTAGCCTGTCAACTGCAGGCCAGGCAGACTGCAAATGTTCTGACTGTACCTTTTCTCTCATATGTGGGGGTTCTACATGTAAGCAAAAGGCAGTTTTGCCTCAACCTTTCTTCCCCCACAAAGAGAAGGTTTCTGTTGTTATGGGAGACTGTAGGTGGAACTCCAGGTGAAAAGGAGGAAGAGAGTATGTTTGGGAAGGAGGGCAGGAGCACTATCCCAATATCTTCCAGCTTCTGATTAAAGTGGAATTTTCAGGTAAAAAAGAATGTCCAAATAATTGAATCAAAAGGGGAATCTGATTCAAGGATAGCTTATTCTCTAGAGCAGTATCTTTCAAACTTGGCAACTTTAAGATAGGTGGACTTCAACTCCCAGAATTCCCCAACCAGTATGCTGGCTGAGGAATTCTGAGAGTTGGTCCACCCATCTTAAAGTTGCCAAGTTTGATAAACACTGCTCTAGACAAATAAGAAAAAGGGTTAAGTTTAACCATTGTGTTCTTTTTGTACTAGTTAAGCAGTATTGTCTTTTAAATGTTTTGCTTTTAAAATTTAAGAAAATTATGCATTTAATCAGCAGTCTTAATTATTTAAATGAGGCTAGACTCCAGAAATATCTTTTACTCTGTAAGATCAGTTGATGGGTAGAGAGGTGTGTGGTTACTCTGCCAGTTAGAGGCAAGATATTGTATGCCTCGAAGCAAAGTGCCCCTTTGAAGTTTCTCTTGGCTTGATCCATATGTTTGAGGAAACTTAGGGAGAATTTTTGTGGGGAGAGATTATAAGGGTTTTTTTGGAGAAGTTGACAAAGAGATGCTTAGCTACACTCCTAGTTTGATACTGAATTTGCGTATCTCACTGAACCATAATTGGCTTAAACATAGTTGGCTGAGTAAGTCACAGTTGCTAGATTCACACAAAGCACTAGCCAAAATTGCTACCTCAATTATCTCTTAGCCCAGTGTGTCTAGTAGCCTAGGTGTTACCAGTGACCCACGGCAGGGTAATGCAGGTTCAGCTCCTTCAATATCCACTCATGTTTCTCATGGCTCCTTGGAGTTTTAAATTAGGTTGGCTCATTTCTGACCTCTTTTTGTACTGAAAAGTTACCTGTTAAATAATTAACAACCCATTTTCTTAATCTGATCAACTGTTCTCATACAAATTACTTAGTAACTTGACATCTTGAAGGAATAGCGTGATCTAATGTACTCTAATAAATAAATAAAATATATATTTCTGTTTGAAATACTGAGATTGATCCACTTCAGACTCGTTTTTTCCCTCTCTGCTCCTACTTTACTCAGTTACTGTGGATACTAAAAATGAATGTTTCGTTCCATGGCTTAATTCAGCCCTTTTCAAGTAAATATGTCAGTCGAGAGACATACTGACTGGGGCTATACTCCAAAATCTCTAGATGCCTGGTTGGATAAGATTGCTTTAGAGACTTCAGTTTCCCCACTAAGAGGATTGACATTCTTTGCTGATCTAACTGTGCACAGCACAGCACAGCATGATCTTTCTTTCAAGGCACAGATGTGAATTAATGAGTTGAGCCTCTGAGAGAGTGTCTGGAAAGTGCTTCTTCTTCCTGGTCCTGCAAGAAGGTGTGATTACAAGGGCAAAGGAAACAAATGTTACATTCTAAACAAAGATTGTCCACCCCAATCTAGCTCATTACAGACATATTAACAGTGGTTCTCAGAATGTTACTTCAGCTTTATTTTGGGTATACTTGAGACTGAGCCTGGGACATATTTCATGAAAAGCATGTATTCTTCCACTAAAATACAGAAACAAGTGCAATGTTTGAATATCTTCCTAGAGTTGCAGTTCACAAAACATAATATTTCACTTTATTTCATAAACAGTAACTTCTAAGTTAGGACAGGAAGGCCTGGCGCAATATGGTTCATGGGGTCACGAAGAGTCGGACACGACTTAACAACTAAACAACAACAACAACAAAAACTTCTAAGTTCCTTCCCCACCCCACTTCAGATGAAATCTGAGAATCCAGGCCCTTCCAATATTATTGGACTACATTTTGTTCTTCTGTGATAATTTGATATACTAGCTGGGGCTAGGATCATATACAGAGGAGGTCATGTGGATAAATTACCCATATGCCATCTGTGCTGAGTGCCCCACTCAAATTAAGGTTTAGTATTTGAAGTGATAAAAAATGTCATTTCATTCCATTCAAGGCAATAAAACTTACCACTTTACATATTAATCCCAACATTATTTAGTATTTTGAGTATCCATGGACCACTGGCTACAATTAAGAAAAAACAGTGGAGAAAAAAAAATATAGGATGTAGTGTGGAGGAGGGGTATGTGTGTCAATTTAACTTTCTATGCCCAGGCCCCAGAAATATCTTAAACCGGCTTGGAAGAAGTGATGGGAACTGGGACTGAACCACGCAAGGGTGGCCACTTGTTTCCTATCTAAGCAAATGTGACAATTATTTTCTCACAAAACAAATCCCTATATATTTAAGCAATACAAGCCACCATTATATCACACAGTTGGAAAAATAACATAAGGAACCCTACTTTTTTTGTAGCATCCATTGCCTTCAGTATGGCTACATTGAGATCTTCCAAAGCAGATAAGACACTTTCATAATCTCCCAAGTGTTGGGAAAAATATTCTAAAATAAATAGAAATACACATTCAAAAAGTGGAAAGATCCAAGAATCAAAATGGTAAGAGAGAGAGAGAGAAACAGACAAGCATAGGAAGCTGGGTCTCCCAAACCCTATAGGATAGCAGTTTATTAAGACTTTAATACTGGGTAAAAGTAATATATAGATTTATTTCAGCAGTAGCAACTGAAAGAAGAAGAAAGAAAGGAAACTAGAACAAGCAAAAAGAATGTCAAAATGTAGTTTATGAAGGCTATATAGAGATATCTTACATATAAGCTACACTTGCATCTTTGCTTCTTCACAGAGAACAGAAGAGGCTCTAGTAGGTTATTTAGCTCAAGCACCTGCTCTCAGAGTATGTTCAATATTCCTCTGCCTCGGCCTGAAGACATCAGGTTAGACAATGCCTCCTACCTAGCTGTACACCAGGCCAAATATCTCTAATTTACTTAGGATGTGGCTCCCTTCTGCTGCCTCTCTGAAGGTAATCAAAGTTGTGGAGGATTTCCATTAGGGAAATGATGTAGAAGCAAGAATTAAACACCCTCTACCTCCAGAGTCATGATTCTAATTAAATTGTTTATAGTTCAGCATAAAAGCATGAGCTTTGATGACAATGATAGATTCCCCAAGTCAAAGCCCATCTGATCTTTAAGCTAGCACAAAATGAAAACATAAAGGGTGAATGTGTCATTTCTTGCCTTATGGCAAAAATAAAAAAATAAAAATAATTGCCAGTTAAATGAGATAATCAAAGGAAATTGTCTACTGAGGATCCATGAATATCCTTGTCTTTTCAAAAAGTGAAAACCTTGCTTCCCCAAAAAAAGGGGTACCACCATTATTATAAGACAAGTCCCTCAGATCTGCCCAGCTCTACAGAGCTCTATCCATATGAAGATAGCAGGAGGAGGTACATAAGAGTTGTCTGACTCTTATAACAACTAGCAGTGTTGGCTCTAGGCTAAGGGAGAAGTTCTGTCTCTTCTCTCAGTGGCCTCTCCTCTCTCTCCTCCTGGAAGTGATGAATTTGATTCTCTCATTTAATTAAAAAAAGAATCACTTACCAAATAGTTCTTCAGTTTCCAAGTTGCTGCAAGGAAAAATATATGAAAATATAGAAAATGCATTGCTATTTCGTGCATTCTGTTATTGACTACATTTAATTAGGTTTGTAAACCAACTAATAATTTAAGTGTGAGTTTGTAGGTTATTGTCAACAGTGCGTGACCAATTTTTAATTTCCACTATGTTGGTTTGCAGAGATTAAAGTCTACATAAAATTTATTTCTTTATTCCAAACTGAATATGCAGATCAGATTGCAGCTCAGACAAATTTTCCAAGCTTTTCAAACTTGAATAGCAAGTTTGAAATGTGCTTTACCATTAGAATGCAAAATGGAACAGTTGAAAATGGCATAGCAAGATAATAACAGGCAACTTTCTCAAATAAAAGCTACATCTATAGATTCAGTTTGCTGCCTTGCATAAAGGAGTACTTCAAAGACTTCATTTTCTCTACAGAGAGAGAAGTATTACATCAATTTATTTCATTTTCTAACTGATGCTTATAACAGCTTCAGGAATGACAAATGAGCCTCTGGCGACCTATGAAGAATACAGAATGCTCAAGAACATACAATAGAGTTAGGTAGTATTGTGTGTTTGTAAGTTGGACTCCAGCTTTTATTGGGCTCTGTGCATATAGTTCAGTCCATCTCGCCCATATCCCATGAGTATGAGGGGAAAAAATGGGCACGAGATGGAAGTTCTCAGGAGCTGCTGAATATACATGGCAGTAAATACCAAGAAAAATAAACAGTAATAACATTCTGTCCTTTCAAGGAACCACAACTCGACTGTTGAGGTGACCCACCCCGCCCCCATGGTAGGGCCATCCATAAGAAGCTGAAGCAACCAATAGTCATAGTTTGTCCCTTATGAATTTGATATAGCAGAAGATGGTAGATATGGCGAAGCCAGACTCCTGCTATTTTCCTAAAAAGAAAAGTTGTTTTTAAAGTGCATAGGAATGGAGGGCGGAGCTGGCGTCGCAGCGATACGGCGGGGGGGGGGGGGGGGGCGGGGGG